TCCTCAAACATGTTCTTATGACTTGAATGACCTTGGGTTCCTTTGAAGACATCCAGTGGGACGTTACACAAAACAAACAAACAACACCAGTCCCAGTTCTACACTCCTGGAATTCTGACAGCACTCAAAAATCAGTCCAAAAGTAACATGTGGCAAGAGTGTGACATTCTCATCTGATACAAATAAGCATAGTTCCATTTCTAGACTAGAATCAAGAGTAATGACTCCATCTGTGTATTCTCAGACACAAGACACTGAAAGATGAAATCTGAAAGTCTTAAAAATAGTTTCTCTACAAACTAGTTTTAGTCTTTCATAATGTAGGCTAGTAAAGTGAAGCTGTCCGGTGAATTTTGTTTCAGCAAGTTTTATTCAGCACGTTTCTTAAATATCCAAAATCTTCATACCAGGTGGGGAAAGGGGATGTGTCTTCCATCTTCTAGCCTCCAACGCCAATCATAAGGTCATTCTCAATGTTAAATACTATTAACTTCCAAATATTAATGCAAAGCTCATATTTAAACCTCTTTAAAATTAAATAACTGGGGTGGTTTTTTACACTTTGTTGTCTTAAGTGAGCCACTTTAAAAAGAGCTTTTTCTAAAAAGAAAGCAGCAGCCAGTGTCACTGTTTGACTATCATTATCCTCCTAAATATACTGCTTTAATACAATAATACTGGAAAGTAGGCATATTATCGATCATAATAATGATTTGCCAAGCAAATGCCTTCATATTTTTTCTGGTGGAACTAAGTGTCCTCTCATCATACAAACTTTCCTTGAAATTGTGAATGGTCAGCAACTCACAGTTCAGAGTTCTGCTACCTAAGGATAAGCATATGGTTAAAAAAAACCCTCCAAAACAATGCTGCCCTAAGGGACTTATGTGAATATATAGCAGAAGAGCATTTCACTGAATTAGCAAACCAAATACTCTAGTCTGAGTAGAGCCAGAACTCATTTTTTAAACTGAAGTGTCATTCATTCCCTCAAAAGGACACCACCCTGAAAGGGTCACACTCAGCCGGTGAAGCCACTTGCGTGCAGCATGGCTTCAAACAGGCTGGGTGACCTCTTTACATCAACCGTGCCTTTAGGTGCAGGTTTCAGCACGGACTGATAACCACCTCATGTGTATAAATACTTTTTTAAAACAAACAAAAAACAAAAACACAACAAACAACCCACGGAAAGTGCGTGGGAGTTAGGGCGTTGTCTCGAGGGCCTCCACCCGACAAACTACTCCGTCCTTTGAGCTTTTGACCTACTGCGGTCTCAGGAAGAGCCCACGGGGCATAAGCGTCCCACGGCCACAGCTTTCCTTCCCGGGGACGACCCCACAGCTCCGAGCCGGGCCCGCTCCCC